AGTATCTAAGCAGATTCATCTTTCAAAATTTTAAGGAAGTAATTTAATACACAAGTCAAAGCTGAACCTGAGTAAACTGTGTGGAATGATTATGACATTCTGTGTTTGGGAAATATCTCATAGTTGACTGAAAGAGGAACTTAAACTCTAGAGAAATTGTAATATGTTGAGAATCTGTTGGTTGTATTGGAGATAACTAGAGTACTTTCATTCTCACAATCAGAAATTGCTAGAGTTAATTTTGGTTCGAGATGAATGCTATCATAATGATGATGCAATCAAGAAAAATCCTAAAATCCTATTTTTCTTGTGACAGAATTCTAGTATCAATTCACTTTATTAGGAATTATGAAAAAAGGATACTTAAAGAAAGAAAATAGAATTGCAATATATATGAAATGCTATGAAGACTCCGAGAAAGTAATTTCTCTATATATCTTCATATTGCACAAGAAATTATAACAGAATCTATCTTCATATTGTTGCATGTCTTATTAGAAGCTCAACACTTTCATTCTTCACGCTATACGTATCACTTTAGCATGTGTACAAGATTATCAAAAGTTATCGAAATCAGTAAAATGGAGTTTTACATGCATGACTAGCAAGTAGCATGTGTGTATTATGAGTGTTAAAAAGGATGAAATCATCATATAGTAGCTAAAAATTCCTTGCTTCAGCAATAAACATGGAAAACTATGCACACAAAGGCACAATACATATCTATATTGAATCTTTGGAAAAGGGTCAAATTTCAGGATTATGCGCATCGATGATGTCGCCCTATATGACGTCCATCACATGCATAATAAAATAATATCTGTAGTACAATATTTGTGATAGAAAGTTCTCAATGTTAGGTCGATCTCCCCTTCATTGTCGTCTAAATCTTCCGTTCTTCACAAAGCACGAGCCTAATTTATAATGCCTAGCATTATACATGTAACCCGCTGCGTTTCCTCACCTGTTCGAAGTGGCAGACCCTCCTTCAGGAGAGGAACAAATAACAGTGAGGGAAAAGGACATGTCCGTATCCTCAGTGCAAGCAATGGGACTACAACCACTGAAAGAGGAGTGTCAGGATAAAAAAACAAATAATTAAGCAATCTTATAAGGGCCAACGGACACCGAGCGAGCGAGCGTTCGTTCGAATCAAAAATCTTCGTCTGATTCAAAAGCTAAAGCACGCGTCTGACAATACTTGGTGACTCCACTGTCAGCTGCGGCTGCATCTCCAAGACGGTTGATTAGCTTTGGGCTGCGCAAGCTTTTCTGCCTTCTCCCCCTCGTCACTGCCTAGGATGCCTGCGTCGCTGCAACTTGCAGGAGCAGGCTGTGCTGATGACAATTCTTACAACTGATCTTTGTAAGAGGTGATGAAGTATGGCATCATGAGATCATCGAAGGGCAAACATCTCACACGTGTAAGGTGTACGTGCCGTGCATAGAACCGTACTGCAATTACGGCTGATGCGAAGGGGTGGAACTTTAGGGCGAGGCCTTGTACCGCAAGTAGGAATGTGTGCCGACGATACTGTTCTTCTCGTTGCTCTGCTGCATACTCCGGGATATCAAGATTCTATTCACTGACAGCCAATTTGAGTCGAGTCAGTCGATGCGTCAGTGGCTACGGTTGTCGAGGGCAAATCTTGCAATCACTCTTCCGTAGCATGCCAGTAGACGTTTCGTTGCCTCGCCGGATCTTCCTCACCCATGCTTTATCAGCTGATAATTTTGTGTCATGCCAATCTGAGCCTATGAGTGTCGGCTCGTTCATAATTTCTCCTGCTGTTCGACTTCCAGTTCTGCGTCGAAACCTAACTTTAAAGCGCCAGATACCTTTCCAAAAGAGGGTACCAGACATTTCCCTCTCCCTTCAGAATTTATGGTATGATTGAAGTATGGCAGTATCGATACGTCCATTTTGAAGAGATGCTATCTTCTTCAGCCTTAGATTTCGACTGTCTCAAAGAGGAGGGCTGAATTCACCACTGGATTTAGCAGCAGGTCGTTAAGTATGCTGCTTCTGTGTGGCAAAAGAAAGCAATACGATGATCATGTCAGTGAAATCTGTGATTTTATATCTGCATAGAGACCACCTCAAATCAGCGCTCTCGTATTCGTACCACACCATACACGCCGTGTATGAATTATCATTAATCGTCTGTAGCGTAGCGCTAGCAATGTATGATTTGTGGTCTTCTGCTTTTCACAGCCTACTGCAACTCTCCTAAAAGGCAGCTCAAAAGCTTTAGACTCGTCGTCTGAGAGTCGAGTCTGATGCCTTTTACGGCTGCTGAAAGACCACTATACAATTCCCATGACGTAGTGCTGACCGTTGATACTCAAAGGCGGGACTACTAGCTCGCTGACAGCCTTCTACTTCATTGCATGATCCCCGAACATGACAGACATCTAAAAAGATAAAAGTTAACAATAATTTTACACAATGATTCGGACAGTGTAGCATTCGACAACTAACGCCGCGTATTGCACTCTAAGGCTTTATTCCTAACTCTGTGAAGTCGTCCAGTCCTTATGCGAGCTATCACAGTGATCAAACCCTGGTTCTAGCTTGCACCTTGAATTGTGTTTATAGCTGTGTGCATAATTTACTCCAGAGGGACTGAAAACGTGGGACTGAAATGTTGGAACCTATAGAGAGCCTCATGCCTGAGTTCTGCGATGTAGGACTGAGCCATGATCCGTTGTAAGTTAAGACGGGTTGTGTGATGAAGAGGGCTGTGAGCCTTCCTGTCGGAGAAGCAAGAAGTCTTTCATACCAAGTCCTATATTGTTGTAGACACGGATTCACAGCCTGTCCTTCAGACACCAGCTAGCCTTTCAGATTGGCCGTGAAGCAGCTTAATTCACGGAGGATGTTATCCCTTGTATTCTTGACATAAGCACTGCTCGCAATATTCCTTGCCTTCATTTCTTCATTCTTCTAATCCATAAGTCGAGATTCTTCATCTTACAGATTACAGACCCACAATAAATGAGAGCACTCTCATTTATCATTATCATCCACTCCTCGCCATAATTGTCAGCTCATCGAGGATTTCCATCATTATGTAGATCAGTATTCATTAGCTAAAGTTTCTTTAAACAAAGGAAGCTACAGAGAAATTGGCTAACTGTATACAGGTACTCATCTATAAACAATGCCAATGCAAGGTCTTTGGAAACTCGTCTCGAGATCAGACAGCACGACACTTACAATAATAAATGTGGCCTTCAGTAGTGTCAATGCCTCACTCAGCATCAAGATAACAAATTGGTCCATAGAAGCTATTTCACAACAGCTGCTGTAAAGATGGTCATACGATCGAGCAACTTAACTCTATGTTATGAACCCAGAGAATCTTAACGCATCCATCACCAGGGAACTTTCCGAGCTTGGTAATATCTTATTGGCCACGAGCATAAGCTTTAGGAGTCAACTGTATCATATTTGAGTCGTGCAGACTAGGCATCTAAGGTCGGAGATAAACAAAATTACAATATGTCGCCGGGTGCCGCAAGGTTTACAGAGCAATCAACAATAGCAGACAGTTGCACTGTCTTTTACGATACCCCAATATCGATCCAGTTATGTAAGCCTCACAGAATCGGTGTGGTTACGATGTTTATTGTCCCGAATGGTTTGTGAACAGCAATCAGGGATCACTCTCGTCAGATATTCCGTTCATTACACATCCAGTGAGCAGATTCTCCTGAACCTTTATTGATATGGGGCAAAGAACGAGGAAATAACGTTTGGAAAGTCCCATCCAGAGGAACAACTAAATACCTGTGGTGAACCTAAACACTCAGGAAATTAGTCAAGTTATGAAGAAATATTAAAAAGAAACTTCCATTACACTGATCCGACAGAGGCAAGCCTTTTACAGCATACTATCCACTCCTTTGAGTTGTCTAAAAATAGATAGCCGCACACAAGAAATCATATCATGTGACTACAACAACAGTACTGTCACACTTTGACTCCTTCAAATATGTTCTTGTTCCTTCGATGAAATCCCCTGGGGCAAACAGCAACAATTCCTTGCATTGGTCCATCCATCTCCTCTTATGACCACGGGGCATCAATAAGGATAACGTCACTTCAGTATTGATGTAGTTAAGAAGACTATAAGCTGGGCGAACAATCTTCTTTAGTATGAATGACATCCAAATCGTTGCATCGTAGTGGATATACAAGATAGGATCCTAACCTGAATCAATTACACGACGACAAAGTTTACAAGTGCTCTAAAGTGAAACCTTACGCTTTTGTAGAACAAGCCGTGAAGGTCATGAACTACCATATAATCCATAGCTTCAAGAGGAGCATAAGTTGTCGCTTGTGTTAAAAACCAATTTCTGGTTTTACACAAACAATCCACTGTATGAAGTCCCTAGACCAAGTGCATTTTCTAGTGAAAGAAGTGTCACTCTCACCAGCTCGTAGAGCCACCGACATTGTAACTTCCTGCAATTTATTGTAAATGACAGTATGAGTTACTCATATTAACGTGTTACAAAGAATAAGAGGAAAAACTCATTTCGTCGACTGCAGTATAGATTGATTACTATTTCATATATTATAGATTAGATTAGCAAGTTTTGACATTGAAATCATATCTCAACGAACTAATACTTCAGCTGACTCTGTGGCGTTGGAGCAGCTGAGTCAGCAGTACCTGACGATGTGACTCCTCATTCCTGCACCGGAGTGCACAACCTCTTGTTCACCAAGGATTCTTGAGCTACTGATAAAGCTGACCTCCATCATTTCATCGAGTGAAAGATACCGTCTAAGTTCATAGGAGGCTGATTCGAGTAACTTTTCCTGGAGACGCTACATGACATCACCCTGTTATCATCCTGAGGCATTCTAGTTGTCACTTGTAACTAGCTTCATAGACGGATCTATGAACTCTAAGGTGTTTGATGGACACTGACATCAGCAGTGACATTTTATTTATTGCTAAAAAAGGAAAACCGCCACTGATATTGTAACATCTTCCAGTGAAAAACAGTAGTTTTTATCATTCACATGTTCGACAGCCAGTTATCCTCATGAACATGCTGACCAACTGAGAGTGATACCCATGCCCGAACTGTCGTGGGAGAGGTCCGAAAGATTCGTCACGACGCATCAAAGTAAGCACGCGGAACCGCTGATTATGCATGACTGAGCACTGGAAGTGACTGAGAGAATATAGACGGATCAGAACACGCTTCAGTATGGGTTCAGCTATAACGGTTCTATTATACTTTAGCTTCTCAGCTCTTCTTTTCCTGTCCGAACGTGATGATCGTCGTTTGTACATGATATGTTTGGATATGCATGGAAGGAGACAATTGCCTCAGTACACCACGGATGAACTTGGGCCTAACACATATACACGGTCACATATGATTGTTGAAGGGCTCGTAACTGACAGGGATTGAGATTCAGCTCGAGACTACGTCTGAATCTGCGTCATCTGAGTGATCTTTATTTAGATACAAGAGTTAACCTATAGCTTCAACCTTTTCACACACACTGCATTTCTAACTACCCAGGACCTTCCGCTTTCTTCAATGCCAAGGAGTTAGTAGCGCCTGATGGAAGAATCAGGTCTCAATTATAACAGCTAGAGCTGAGAGCTCAAGCTGAGGTTGTAGAATATGAAGTAGCTGTTGCGGAGAAATTGTCTGAGTGAGCCCAACTCAACGTTCGAGCTGTCATTTTTACCAAAGCTTCGAAAGTCGTGCCAGAGGCTTGACTCAAGCCAGCAGATATCATAACTCCGTGATACTTCAGTCACGGCAGCTCGCAGCTTCTGCAAGTCAATTTGGCGGTGTTTGTTATCAACCAAGTTCGAAGATGGACCATTGTTATGTCTTGAGTATGAGAAAATCATGCATAGTACGAGTGACAGTACTAAGACCCCAATGAACTGAGGTGTAGATTCTGTATGACATGGATTGCAACAGTTTCATTGTAAAACTATAGAAACTTTGCTGTGAGCAACAGCTTAAACTGAAACCATCGCCATGATCTCTCATTTCGACCACGAATGACCTGGGATAGAAGGTATGAACTGTCAGCAAGAGTCCATTGCAGATCTGGCGTGCTCAACAGTGTGACACAAACTACGAGTGACAATACGAGACCAGAAACTTGAGCTAAGACCAGGAGAGTGTAAAGAAGACCGCCTTCGTGACGGTGCTGTCCGTTTGCGCTCAAGTTCATGTCAACAGCTTAGATTCAGGTAGGTCTGCCCACGATCTGTAGCCCTGGCTAAGGAATCTTATTTTTGCTGGCATAGGAGCCAGAGCGAGCCAGGTGCGTCAGGCATGTTACCGCTCCTGGGGGAGAAGTTTCTCGTTGTGCATCAGGTACAAGAGGACTATTATTACGACGAGAATGTGGGGCGCGAGTGATGCACCACCACTACATCCTTCACGAAGAGTTGGATCTGAGCTCTTTTTTTTTAAAATTTAATCCAAGCGTGCCAACAGCTCAACTCGGGGTAGTTCTCGACATGACCTCCGCTCCTCACTGACAGCAAGGTAGGTATGCTCCTCACAGGCAGAAGTAGGACTAAGACTGAAGTGGTAATACCTCTATGCGAGTCGAATTTCTTCTAGCTCATCGAGGGAAACGTTAAGCTTCTTGGGGTAAGTAGAACAGTTGCTGCTCTGTAACAGTTGGAGTTCAGATATCTGTAAACAGATGGTAGAAGGCAAGTACGAGGCACAAGCTTGGAAAAAGTTGCAGCTCATCGAAGACCTGAACAGTGCGGTGACATTCAGGACACTGCTGGAGTTTTAAGTTACAGCTTGATTCGCGGTGGCTCGCTCCATGACCTCTGTCCTCTTGACTTGGAAACTTCCGTTATGATGAGGGGCGGGAGTGAGTAAAATTTGGGGCATGGAATGTTGTCTGCTAGCTTTCTTTCGAGCTGCACCCTAAACAATCACAATACTCATGTAAGTACGAACACAACTGTTCAAATACATCAGTACGTATGTGGGGGCGGGAACAATGCACAAGCTTGATGAGAAGAGAAACTTTGAGCTGTCCTCTATTCGTGCCAAGAGCTCGGTTCAAGGTACCTTTGTCCATGACCTATTCTGTCGAGGCGAGTTTTGCATGGTGGCACGAAAGACCTGACTAACCTGAGCGAGCCACTCCATTCCCTATCAGAAGGACTCTCGGAAGACTTACTTCATGGTGGTGTGAGTAGGATAGGAGAAGCAGCTACGCAGAAGTAGGATCTTGAACTCTGCTCCGTCTTCAGTGTGACTTCGAGCTGTCAGCAGCCGAAAGGAGTTCATGCAAATAGTTCGGCTCAAGGTTGTACCTTCCGAGGACACTTCATATGACTTTGACTGAGCAATTTTCCTCGTCGCCGCGAGGACGTCCTCGTCCTTTCACTCTCCGTCGATGACTCCAAGAGTGACTCAGTTCTTGGAAGAGCTCCAGCATCAGCTTAGAGGGTATTTGAAGGACTTACGAGTTGGTTAGCCTCTGGATAGTAATCATAAGATGTACAACCGACTTCTGGACATCATTTTCATGAAGTCAGAGGGTTTTTAAACGATCTGCTTTTTCACTGACCGGCTCTCAGTCGTCTTCCGTGACGGATTATGATGCAATTCTGTTTGTTACCACCGACTTGATCCTGCTGCACATCTTTGGGCAGTAACGATATTAAGTCTTAGAGGTGACTGTTTGGGTGAAATGTTCGGCAGCCGCGTACATACATCGGAGTAGTCTGCAAAGATTCTGCATGTGCTTTGATTCTTACCCGAGACCACTGTTCGGAAGTCCAGATCCTGAGCGTTAGCGGCACGTCGTGAAGGTAGCTTAGCTGTTCGATGTACGGTGCTGACAAGCACCTTTCTTCGCCACAGCTGCGAGCTTTTCATTTTCGTGAAGCTCCCTTGGCTGCAGTGCTGCTGCACTGGTCCTGGCGAGCACACTCAGAGCTTTGACCGGTCAGCGATCTATCGGAGAACACAAGGGAGACATCCGCAGAGACTTCAAACATATGACATGCACGAAATGAACACATAGGTTTGCTGCTGAGGTCACATGTACACGAGATGGACAAATAGTTTAAGGTTTGTTGCATCAGGCTACGTGTACAGAACCAGACATTATGGACATGATGCGTTCAGACTCTGGAGCTGTTCAGGTGAGAATCATTTTGGAGTGCCAGCTTGAGGCTCCAACAGAATCTCGACGCATAAGCATGAGGTCCAGGAGCTGGTCCGCGGTAGATTGTTGCATTTTTAAAGTCCAATCTCCGTCCGACATGTCCAGCCAGCTTTCAGGGATGAGAACACTCATTTCCACGATCAGATGTCACAACAGGAGGTGGGAAAATGAAATTTTTTACGTCACCCCAGATTCCAGTTCGCATGATTAGCAGATGTTTCAAGAGGCTTCAACATATCGTTCAACTATCCTGTGAAGACCTACGGGTTCATTGTGTTGACCAATGCATGTATCCCCTTTCCGGGTAGAACTCCGAATCTGGGTCCTCCACTATTTTTCAATCATCATTATCTCCCTCTGAGGATAGAAGATGACTCTCATCATTCACGAGGGCCTCTCTTACTCTGAGAGTTGAAATGGTAATCCAAGATATGCTTGCAACTGTCCACTCTCTTTATCTTCTCGGTTACATGACCCACTGACCTGCAGGAATGACTAAACAGTCTTAGTGATTCTGGGCACACTCCCAACGGATTTCTTCTCAGTTCGAGGCAAGGTTCCTCTTGGAATAAAACTCCTACGTTGGCCTAGCTGCATGAGTTTTGCATTCTTGACCCTCACATTTAACATGACTTTTGCAAGTGCCTCAAAAGTAGCATGAGGATTACTGACGAATTACGACGTAAACTTTGGTCTGCATGGGAGGAACCACTGGACGACCTCAAGAATCAGTGGATGATGGGACTGGTGAAAAATCAGGTTCTATACTTGCGTGTCCACAAAATGATATCCTACCTACCTTCATTAGATATTGAATTCAGGTACATGTACACTTAATCTCAGTAGGTTGGTGGATAAAGGTACATCATTAAGTCTAATTTTATTCAAAGATCACATTTATCGGGATTTGTGACAAATCTTAGGTTCACAATGTTATATCTTTCGTTGAAGATTATTACTAAGAGAATATATTTTATATGTATGAAAATATAATCGAGAGATAACGTAGCTTCTTTGTTCTTTAATTTGCAAATTCAAGTTCATTGTCAACAGAGAAAATGGTTACAAGAATTACTTTTTGCTTAGTATTCTCTTCCCACCTTGTTCATTTGCAATGATTGTATATAGATTAATGCTTGAGATGAATGCAAGTCATTTAGCTCAGTCATTCTCTTTACATGTGCAATCCAGATGATAACAAATTTCTAAATAAATATTACATGTCATATACTCTTGAAGTTGATTCTAACATTCATTGTAATATAGAGAGTTCTCTTTGATCCTTACATAAGAAGAGTGTAAGCATCAGAATATTGTCACGATCACTCATCAATGCCTTTTAAAACATCAAGGCCTTCCAAATCCCCGAATCTACTCATGAAGTTATACTGGACTTGTCAATCCATTTATATCTTCATTACACGCATAAATGTGATGTTGAACTCAATGTTACATCCTTTTATATGACTAGTTGCCTAAGTATATCTTACAATGTAGCAACTTTAAAATTTAGTAGATAAAAATCTTAATGACACTTGAGTCACCGTTATATATATTGTAGTCAAATCTTCTTTTTTCAAGTATTCACATTTTTTTACTCTTATATGAAAAAATATACTCAAATTTTGGAATTGGGGCAAATTAAACAGCAAGCAAGTTCCACGAATTTTATGAGAATATTTTTCAAAATATATTTTTTTAAGTATTGCACTCATATTGATTAGTTTAGATCTAACTTCTACGGTTCACAACTATGAGTATTACAGGTCAGGTTTTCTGAAAATATGGGCGCTGATGTTCAAAATATTGTGAGCATGCACAATATCAATCAAATAAATTAACATTTAACTTTGATGTATAGCTTATTTGTACGAGCACACTCTACTATACGTGGCGCACTCTTTTCTGTAACATATTGAAAGGGATCATTCACGGAGCGGCTAGTTATCCTTCACTTGAGGCTAATTAGCCCTCACCCAAGTATACAGACATTTGGCGGATGGAGCTTTAGGGTCCATATAAAATAAAGGTAAACTTCGCGACTACGTTTTTTTTTAATGTATTCCAAAGATGTCATGGTGTCAAAAGCCACGTAAAAAGTTGATTGCCATCTTTGCGATCTAAAAGCCACGTCAAGGTTCTTGCTAGCGAAAACAGGCTTGTGAATGCGAACAAGAGAACATGCACAAGTGACAGTTTAGAAGTTGGTGCTCAATGCAAATGCGTCGAATAACTCAGTGACTGCACTGAACCTTTTGCCACGCTCCACTGCACATGCTTTTTGTCCCAGTTTGATGGAATAACTAAGTGAAGTATAGATACTTTGGCTGCAGTCGGATTTTTCAACTAATCAAGAGTATAAGCGGAATGTTGATTTTTAGCCCATGATGCCCTTTTTAATGCATAAGATAGAAGGTGATTGTTGGTTTACGATAGAACGTTTCAATAGTCCAGTTCCAGTAGATTCTACAAGCTTGTTTGGTCAACACGCTAGTACCTTGATAGTCTCGTAGTTGGAAGTACCCACGAGCTTTATTTTTGCTGCCAGGAACCTTGACGTGGATTTTAGATCGCGAAAGTGGCAATCAGCTTCTTACGTGGCTTTTGACACCATGGCATATTTGGAGTCCATTAGAAAGACGTGTAGTCGCAAGTTCACATTTTATCACACGGAGCCTATAGCCTCATCCGCCCAATGACTAAAGTGTGTATACTAGTGTGAGTACTAATTAGTCCAAGGTGTGTGATAACTAGCCCCTCCCAATCATTCATCTCATTCTACATGAAACATTGTCTTGTACAATCCATGATATACCAATCAAGTTGAATAATATTTTTTGAGGCTTATCATGTTTATGTATATCTTTGAATTTGATGATTCATATGCTTTCGTTTCAAACAAAATATTTATGTTTAACAAAATGTTATTTGATCTATATTATTAATGCCCTTTGGTTTCATCCTTATCAACTTCAGGAAATAATCTTATACTTCTTGCTAATTTATTTTGTTGCCATTTTTTTTTTATTCCAATTTATTCTTTTAGAAGTAGCTTTCGTCATATTCAATGAATTTGTGCAGAAAATTATCCTATACAAGATATGAGTGTGTGCATGATTTACCTTGCACAACATTTACTAATATTTCTTTAAATCGAGCAATTTTTTTACTTTAAAGGTTGGCATAGTTCAGATTATGATGTAGATTCAAATCCAAAAATTAAAATTTGTCAACATTGATGTTTTCTTTTCTTTTTTCCATTCCGCTATTTCGCTATTCCGATTGTTAACATCTCTGTAAAGAGGAACGACAATGAAATCTTTAACTCGGAGATCCTTGAAGTCGCCATGTGCTTCTAGGACTAGCTTAACACAACTTTGGCCAATGCAACGAATGTCTGTTGATACTCCAAATTTAACTTGAGTTCCCCTTTTCTAAATTCAAAAGTCTCTTTTGCAACACAAATTTCTTGCGACGGCACATCATCATTCTCTCCTCTCTTCTTAGGCCACTTAGAGGCCACCTCTTTAGCCCTCATTGTTGTGCATGATAAATTAGTTGCAAGCTTGATCTAAGTGATTTTGTTGAAGTTTTGTATTGTATTGTATTTTTCAGTCTAGATACGAGCTGCGAGGTTAGCGTATTCATAGAAAAAACTGGTGTCGGTGGAGTGTCGAAACCGTCAAGAGCTGCGATCTGGTACACTCATACTGTCTGATTCGTTGCAGGCTTTAACTCGATGCGCTTTTGTCGTTGAACACCTCCATTCCATCTTCGAATTCTAAGTCGCTGTATTATGTCACCTTTCACGCTGGATATATGCTCAAGGACGTGGTTCATCGTATCGGGGACGTTCCTATGACTATCCCAGTACGAAGTCATAATTGTAATGAGACTCATAAATGTCACGTGTCAAGCGGAGATATATCGATATCATGAGCTTAAAATTCCCAACCCGATGAATGTGTGAAAAGTTATTGCAGTAGATTGTGGAAGGACACAAGACCAAACAATTAAAAGTTGAAGCCTATTAAGAAATATATTTTTGTGGTAGTAAACACTGATGTAACTCATATTCCTGAAGTTTATTACACTAAGAAACATCTTGCAACAAGCAAGTACGTGTTGGGCACACAAGGTAATTACCTACACCTATGATTCTTAATGGAGGCAGTCAGAGTACTTGACCGGGCAAAACAAGGACCTGGCCGGTACAACATTGAAAATTACGATGTCCCCTCGCTGGCAACAGAGGGTATAGAGTCTTGGTGGATTGTGGCATTAAAATCAGAAATAGTGCAGGGCCTGGAGCCTGTGCGGTTCTGGCGAAGAAAGGTGTTGTGTTTTGGCTCTTCCAATTTGCCGTGAAATCATCTAACGATGATGACTCGGCTGTTTCTATTCTTTTATGCATCATACATTTGTTTTGTTATAGATTTGAGATTAGGATCAAGAAAATGATGT